GGCTCCAAAAGGGCCGCCGCAATACCCGATCTTCGCAATGCGGGTTTTCCCCATTGCGAAGATCGGGTATGTTTCCGTATAGCGATCCCGAAAAAGGGATCGCTATACGGAAACATCGCTATACGGTGCACTCGTTAAGCGAGGCACCACTGTACTGTATTGTGAGCTTTCATGGCTTGCAATCCACATCATCAGCCACATGAATCTCTCCATAAATTCACTTCACTGATTCATTTAATTAATTCGGCTTCTTTAATTGCCTTTCCCTGCTGCTTTCCTCCCTTTCTTGCAGTGTAGGAATACTAGGTGGCTCACAAAAACACACACATCAAATGACACTATGAAAAGATGATTAAACATAGAATAATATATATATTTTAAAAAACCCACTAGTCTAAGAAGTTTTAAAAGCATTTGAAATACACATATACACAAGGAAGCAGGAAAATGTTCAGTATTGGGCCATAAAGTCCCTTTCACTATTGCCCCTCCAGATCGTAAAAGCCTGAACACACTATATTATTGATTTAATAGTTTAATGATTATGTTGTTTTATTGTATTAATAATATATATATTTTAAAAAACCCACTAGTCTAAGAAGTTTTAAAAGCATTTGAAATACACATATACACAAGGAAGCAGGAAAATGTTCAGTATTGGGCCATAAAGTCCCTTTCACTATTGCCCCTCCAGATCGTAAAAGCCTGAACACACTATATTATTGATTTAATAGTTTAATGATTATGTTGTTTTATTGTATTTTGTATCGTATCGNCATAAATAAAAAACACCAACTTGTAGAAGGACAAACAGTCCTTAAGACAGCCGGGAACCATGTCACGGAAGGCTTTATAGAGCCTAAATTGAAACAAAAAACACAGTAAACCAGGTTAGCTCACAATTCGGTCATGACCCGGTTTGGGAATCCTGGTTTGTCAAAGCAAAACAAAGCGCCAAACTTTTTCTCCAATTGTAATGTCCAAGTTCAGGACAGTACAATTAGAAAAAGACTGAACAAGTATGGATTGTTTGGAAGGGTTGCCAGGAGAAAGCCTCTCCTCTCTAAAAAGAACATGGCAGCACAGTTCAGGTTTGCAAAGTTGCATCTGGACAAACCACGAGACTTCTGGAACAACGTCCTTTGGATAGACAAGACCAAAGTGGAGATGTTTGGCCATAATGCACAGTGCCACAGCTAAAGCTTGGCCAAAACTGGGTCATGCAACTGGACAGTGAGCCCAAGCACAACAGCAAATCTACAACAGAATGGGTGAAAAATAAAAGAATCAAGGTGTTGCAATGGCCCAGTCAAATTCCTGACCTCAGCCCAACTGAAATGCAAGAGAGTTGTGCATAAACAAATGCCTGCAAACCTCAATGAACCGACACAACATTGTAAAGAAGAGTGGGCCAAAATTCTTCCAAAACACTGTGAGAGACTGATCAAGTCATACATAAAACAATTATTTCATATTAATGCTGCTAAAGGTGTTTCTACAAGCTATTGAATCATAAGGTGGTGCTTAGTTTTTCACACATGGATTCTCCATGTTGGCTTTATTTTTGTCAAATAAATCATGTCACGGTGTAATATGTCATGTGTTGTTGTTCATTTGAGGTTTACCTAATTTCCAGACTTGCTAAGTACCAAATGATTTTTATTATGTCCTGATCATGTAAAACTATAGAATTCAAAGAGGGTGTACATTCTTTTTCAAGTGACTATACATAGCGACGATAATCCGTGTAGCAAAAATTGCTGCAAAGTGATTTCGTCGCTATGCGAAATAAAAAAGCCCATAGGAATGCATTAAAACCTGTTTAATGCGTTCCTATGGGCTAAAAACTTGCCTTTAAGCAAAAATCCTCCATACGGCGGCGATTTTGGGTGCCCGGTAAGTGAGGAATCTGTCCCTAAACACAGTGGGCGGCCATGTTTTTTACCCGGCAGCCATTTTGGAACCACCGTTCAACTGTTTTAAAATCATCGTTTTGCGATGATCGGTAAGCGAGGCAGGGTACCGATCATCGCAAAGCAAAAAAAACCCATTCAGACCATCGCAAAGCGATCGCAAAAGCAATCGCAAAATCCTCATCGCTATGCAATTTCGTCATTAAACGGGGCGCCCATTAAGCAAGGCACCACTGTATATATTTCTAAATACAAAGTTACCACAACTGGCCACTAGATGGAGCCAGAGACCAAATATATATTTCTAAATATAAAGTTACAACAACTGGCCACTAGATGGAGCCACAGACCAAGCTATGTATAGTGTTCACTATAATCCACATTTTTCAGCATCCGCAAAGGGATTTGGAATAAATATAGGATACAGGGGTTGTCCTGTACTTATTCTGTATTTATTCTAAGATGAACTGCAAGTGTTTTCTTATTTCTCTTAAAATCAACCAACGCTGCTTCAAAAACATAAACTCAATTTTTAAAAAATAAAATCAATTGACATTTGCAGACTTACTGCACGCATTTTTAAGCTTTCAGGAATACGGAGTGCTTCACATATGCCATCTTGCTGTAATCCTTACAAGCACCTTATAAGGTAGAAAATACTTTTATCTTTGACAGCATTGGCAGTACTTTAACAGTATTAATGTAAGAATATATTACACACACTTTGTGTGCACAGCAATTTTATATGCCACTGTGAAGTAGAAGATCCTATAGCTAACACATTTAGGCCAGTCAGACAGAAAGAAACTGATTCCGACTATGAACATCCTGATTCTCAGCTATTATAAACCCATTGTGCAAATTAGTCTACACAAGTTACTAGTCCTCAGTCTGTATTCAGCTATGTTTGTGACGCAGCAACTGCCTAAAGGGGAAGAGAACCGATCCTTCTGTTGTTTCTGGGTGAACACCTCAAAAGGAATCTCTACATGCCACAGATAATTCAAGGAAAGGCGAATATAAGCAGCATTTCTATCACTTTTATGTACCTGTGCTGATCAAAATCTGGATCATCTTCAAGCACTTTCCCTGGCTCCCAGCTGTGCCGTCGGAAGGAGTCATACGTGCGAGTGGCGCCTCTCAGGGCGCTCGAGGTGCGCATAGAGACCCCCAAGAACCGACCATCTTCCTCTTCTTCTGTGGCATCCCAGTCTCCGGCAGGCGGGGAGCATGGCTCCACAGCAGAAAAGGAACGGTATTTCTGGACCAGCGGAGTCTGCGGTGCGCATTCCCAGGGACTCAGGCTGAGCTCAGAGGCTGTGCCGTTCATCCCGCCGAGAGGTGGTGGCTCCGAAGGGCCGAAAAGCTTTGGGAAAAGAAAACAGGGAGGTCAGAAGACAGGAGACGAACACCATCACGAGGCTAAATTTGCAAAAACAAAGCATGTGTCTTTAAGATCCTGAAAGTTCCGCTGCTTCCTCTTGGGGGCTAGAAAAAATTGTACAAAACTTTGAAACACAAGAATCTTAGTATTCTCATTAGTATCGCCATGAGCAATAGTTAGGTTCCACGCTGCCTGCCTTCTTATGAGCACAAGGTGCTGTACACAGAATTATCCTCACAACCCCCTTAGGGTATAGGTCAGATTGAGAAAGTTGCCATCCCAAAATATCCAGTGAGCTTCATGGCTGAAGTGGGGGAACAGAATCTGGATTTCCCAAGTCTAAAGCCCTAGGGGGCGGGTGGGGGAATTTGGAGCGGGCTGGTTTGCACCGAAAAGGTTCTTATTATCTTCAGCGTGCTGTTTTATCCCTCAACTTGAGCGAAAAAGTATAGTCTTATACATGGAAAAATACGGTACATATTAGAATTGCGCTGTGTCAGTTAGGAAAATATTGAAGGAAAAAAAGAGATGAAAACAGAGGAGGGGGTTTCCTCTGTTCTTCCTGCTAAAGACGCAACCGACTCAATCCATCAGAGGGTTGGCCCCACTGATAATGCCACCCAACGCTCCAGTCGGGTGCGAACTAGCCATCCCCACAGGCTTCACGAGATCATGAGGATCACACTGAAGCTTACTGAAAATTACCTGCCAGAAAGGTGTGTGACAAAGCACTTAAAGGGGCAGGGTGGCGCAATTTAAGTAGAAACACACACACGGACAGTGTAATTTGGTTGGCATCAAGCCGTACCAACAGGATTCTGTCCTAGCCCTGTCTGGACTAGGACAGAATCCTGTTCCAGGCAGGAGATCCCACATGTCCCCAGCTGATCCCTCATTGAACTATAAGCCAGGCCACCTCACACAAAACTTGTAATATCAGATAAGACTGGTCTCCTTGGGCCTAACAAACTTCTGAACTACCATACCCCCACACACACACAGATAACGCAAGCTGCCTGAAATCCAGGATTAAGGCACAACTACAGCACGCTGCGGGTTAAACCACAGAAGCCTCTGGGCTGCAAGGTCAGAAGACCAGCTGTCGTAAGATCGAATCCACGCAACAGAGGGAGCTCCCATCACTTGTCCCAGCTCTTGCTAACCTAGCCGTTCGAAAGCATGTAAATGCGAGTAGATCAATAGGAACCACTTCGGTGGGAAGGTCACAATGTTCCGTGTCTAGTCGCGCTGGCCACGTGACCACGGAAACTGTCTTTGGACAAATGCTGGCTCTACGGCTTGGAGACGGGGATGAGCACCACCCCCTAGAGTTGGACACGAGTGGACTCAGTGTCAAGGGGAACCTTTGCCTTTACCTACAGCACATCAATTGAATTGTGGGAGTTTGCAGCGTCAGCTCATCCATCAATGCTATCAATTCAATCGGCCATTGTCCCTAATTTGGGAAACTGAGCAGGGCCAGGCCTGGTTAATGCTTGGATGGAAAAATGACCAGAGATCTCTAGACAGGGCCAGGACACGATCCTGCCTGTAGCACAAGTGCCACAGTTGCCCGTCAATGTTGACGATACATGTCAACATGGGCAATGGTCTGACTCTGCATAAGCTAGACTGCTACTTCCCACAATTAGTTCCAACGATTCTTGTTCTCTTGACAAACCAAGCCCAGCAAGGAGGACCACCTGGAAAAAGTGGGATCTTGCTTTAATCCTTGGGTGGATCTGGATCCACGGCTGGTTACAGAAAAAGACTAAAAGAACTGAAAGACTGATGGGAGACAGAATTTTTAAAATATCTGAAAGGTTCTCATCTCTTCTCCATCGTCCCAGAGTGAAGGGCGCATCATAATGGGCTCAAGCGGCAGGAAGCCAAATTTAGGCTGAATATTAAGGGAAAACTTCTTAACTGTTAGAGCAGCATGAGGATGGAAGCCATGATTTCGGGAGGTGGCGACCGCTCCAATGCTGGAGGCATTCAAGAGAAAATCGGACAACCCTCTGTCAGATCTGCTCGGATGTGGATTCCTGCCTTGAGCAGGGGGTTGGACTGGATGGCCTTACGAGGCCCCTTCTAACTCCTTTATTCTATGCTTCCAACCACATTATGTCAGGCTACCTACACCTGCTACAAATGCCTTCATTTGCACAGAAGATCTGCGCCCTTTATCACGTGGGCACCTAGTACCCCCACAGGAAACATACAGCGCACAATTAAGCATGGGATCGCTACACTCAGAGATTTGGCTTCATCAAATAACCACAAACAGTACTATTCATGCCTGGATTTATTTGCAGGAGGGAATCAGGTAAAACAGGAGACCCTCTCTGTCAAGATGCCCTTGCATGTTTTTTGCCTGCGAAGACTGGATAAGAGAGAGGCACCACGTTAAAACACACAGAGACACAAGTGGAAAGGAGGGGGAGACATTACTGTAAGCGCTCCCCTCTGTTTTCTGCCTTGAGTTACTTATTAATCGCGGACCGATTATAGTAAAAGTGGGCTCTGCCTCTTAACAACAGACGCCTGAGTGTCTGGGAGGTGGGAGCTTGCAAGGTTGTTCTACAGAATTGCCTTATTGTTTGTGCCACGTTGATGGGGGGAATGTCCAGGGAAATGACATACCCGGAGAGATGGGACCTGGAGATATACCAGGGAGGGTAAGAGAGGAGAGGAGAGAGCAGTTCCGATTAGGTTAAGGAGAAGTGCAACTGATGTCAAACTGATCAGCAACAGCTTGTTGTTGTTTAGTTTTTAAGTCGTGTCTGACTCTTCGTGACCCCCTGGACCAGAGCACCCCACGCCCTCCTGTCTTCCACGGCCTCCCGGAGGTGGGTCAAATCCATGTTGGTCACTTCGGTGACACCGTCCGACCATCTCGTCTTCTGTCTTCCCCTTCTC